TATGCTACCAGAGCTCCTATAGCCTTGCCTTATATACCGTGATCATAATAACTGTATGACTCCTGACTAGCTTGGTTCCCCTACTCAAAAATGTGTCTACTTCCCTCTCCCTGACCTGAATCCCAGGCTCTTAGCAAGACTCCCCTTTCAGAGTTTATGGTAAAATGCAAACCCCCAACTGATCCAAATGAGCTATATCCTCTCCAGCCTGAGTATTGCTCTAGCAACTTATTCCCAGCCAGCCCAAGTTCTCATTCCAACCCTATAGCTCAGCATTACCCAAGGCTGGTCAAAACTTAAACAGAAAATAATCTCTATATTTCCATTTATAATTAACACTATATTTAAATGGTAATTCATTCTGTTCTTTGCAAGAATGATTAGACAAATATTTAAAAGTACATACCTCTGCTTTACTCCATATCTTCCAGTCAAACAATAGCTCCTCTAATAGTTTAACATCTTGGATTATAGCATTAGACTCTACAGTCAACTTAAACTCTCCATTCTCATTGACATGAATAATATCTTCACCACAGCAACCTTCAAGAAGGGTCTATGGAAAATTAACATTAATATGAGATGCATTAATAACTGATCAATCCAAATATTCAAGAGAAAAATAAAGTTTCAATCTTAGTGATTTTAACATTAAATCCAATGGAAAACTAGAGAATAATTTAATATTTCATAAAGTATCTTTAATTCATCTTGCAAAACAATTCAAATAATCAAAAACACAAACTTTCAAATATTTGTAAGTAATTATTCAGTTTCAAACATAGGATAAAACAAACCACACTCTATATTTCTAAAGTTGAATGACTCTGTGATTAAGCTTTAAAATCTCTTCAAAAAAGTAGTAAACATTCATTCCAGAAATGTATGGATCTTGATAAGTAAGAGATGGGGGCTGTTAGCAAGGATAAAAGAATCATCTTTTGCCTTAATGGAAATCTCTCAGAAATATTTGCACAATGTTAACAAGTCCTTTTAACTAGAAAGATCCTAAAAGAAGGATCATAATAAAAGTGAAAATGGGTATCTGGCCTGTAGGTCAGTGACTTTAGAAACTAACTCTACAGCAGCATTGCATAAGGGTGTGGCATGGCATGGCACTAGGTGTGTGGAGAACTGAGTTTGAACTGTAGGTGCTGAAGCAAACAACAGTATCTGGGTCTCAATTTCATCAATCTACAGAATGAGAGGCTGGCCTAGGAAATATCTATTGGCTAACCAAGTCTAAAATTCTATGAGTTTATGTTTTCCTCTTGCTCTTCTAAAATGCTTTAAAGAAAACAAAGTCATTATTTAAACAATGAAGAGAATCGGAAGAGTATCTTACTTTGATTAAATATACACCCTTGAATTTCCTTCACTTTCCTTAGGAATAACTGAGACACAAAACTCTAACTATAATTGAAACACCTTGATGAAAAATACCTGAAACTATGAGAATAAATTTTATGAGCTCATACCTTCAAAATGTGAAAGCCAACAATGCATTTTTGTTTGATCAACACCTGGTGAACCATGGAAAGGCCATTACAATTTTCTAATTCATGTATTCTTTGTTGGTTGTATTTAGTTAATGAGAGGATAACTCGTAGTGCTAATGCTTGAGTTTCTTCACAGCTGCTGAGCTCAACAACCTAAAAAAAAAAGTGGATATATTTTTTTAATTTGTTGAGAATAAGTATTTAACATGCGATTATCTACTGGTATATAAATATATATGTTGGTATTACATAACAGTAGATATACCTATTTTTTAATGCTCATAATTTATTATTTGTAACTATTTAAGCATAGTTGAAAGACAAAATTAAGAAAAACGTCTTTAATTATATGTTATAACCTCTTGCTGTTGAGGTGATTCAGATTTATAGTAACCCTATCGGACAGAGAAGAACTGCCTCATAAGGTTTCCAAGACTGTAAATCTTTATGGAAGCAGCTTACTACATCTTTGTCCCACAAAACAGCTGGTGGGTTTGAACCATAACCTTTAGGCAAGCAGCTGAGCACTTAACCACTGTGCTACCACAATTCCAATTATATATTATAAATGATCTAAAATAACATTAACAACCTTAGAGGTCAGTCAGTAGTGTTTTATAATTAGTGATCTGAAACATAGAAAAATGTCTCAAATACTTGATTAGTCAGTCAACAAACAGGATCAGCCGTAGTGCTGTAGGAGATAAAAAGAATAAAAGTCATGATATTTGCCCCCACTGGGCCTACTGTGTGTTAAAGAATAAATAAGACATACATATAAAAAACATGAATTGTGCCTCATACTTCAATTTAACCAATGTTTACTGACAACTGCTATATATAAGAAATATAAGAAACACATGCCTATTATTATAAAAGGCAAGCAAGAGCAATACAATATGAGAACCACAATGACATAGAAACTACTTCTGACAGTTTTTGCTTTTTTTTTTTTCCCTCCACATGGAGAGAAGGCACAGAAGGATAACAAAATCCTGGGAAGTAGAATAACAGGTGGGCAGGGGAAGGGACAGGCAGGAGGAGCAGAGTAAAGGCCTAAAACTTGGGAGGCTGGAGGTTGCCTGTTTGGCAAGATTGTGGAGATTAAGGCTCAAAACGTAGGTTACACACAATTATTTTAAGGTGACTGAATTTTATTTAGTAGACAAGCAGGATGGGTACTGACCAAAGTTTCTAAGTTTTCAGTACAGAGATATACTTTAAAAGTCTCATGGGCAAGACACTAAATGTACGTAAGATAAAAATTTAATCATTTTCTCTAGTATCAAGTCACAGGGTAACAGTAATCATATCAAACTTATGATCAAGAAATAAAAAAAAACAATGATTTACACTTTGAAATTATACAATGCTACAAAAGCAGATCACACAATATTGATGTGAGTTAAAAGAGCTTGTAATTTTAAAACACTTGGGGATAAGTCTGTTCAATTAGGTAAAGATACTAGATGCAAAAAAAATATATATGGAAAAAGCAACAGAAGAAAAGACAGTTTACAGACTATGGCGGGTGGAATGCTAAAGAGAAGAACAATAATAAGAACAAACTGAAATGTCCCTATATTAGGCTGAATGCCAAAAAAAAAAAAAAAAACCCACTGCCATTGAGTAGATTCTGATGACTAAAGATCATATTGGATGAAGATTGCCTCATCTTCCTCCCAAGGAGCAGCTGGTGGGTTTGAACCACCAACCTTCTGGTTAGTAGGCAAATGCCTTACCCACTACACCTCCAGAGTTCCCAGTGGGGCTGAACAGTATTCCCTAATAAACACGTTGATATCCTCGGCATTAGGGAGCTGAAATGGACTGGTATTGGCCATTTTGAACCAGACAACCATATGA